GGTATCCTCAGCATCTTTCTGTAGAACATTTCTTTTGCCTCAAGTTTCTTATTCAGCTGTGAAAAGATTTTCGAACATTCTGTCAAACAGGAGAATTGATATTACATAGCAATTCAGAAGATTTCGTTTCTAATGAAATTTTCCAGTTTCTTAATTTTTTGCTTAGTTTTTGAAGGCATCTTTTCCTTTTTCAATGCATCTTCAGATTTTGGTGCTATATGTTCTATCCACTGTTAAAACACTTTCTAAATATTTAGATTTTCGTACTTGCTTGATTTTAGCGTCTAACTTGAAACTTGTAAAATGTATAAGGTATATATTGGGTTCCACCAAGAAATAATGAATCTAATAAAAGGAAACTCAACAAAGAATAGCCTGAGAAAAGAGACAGACGCAAGGACACAATAGACGGATTAGAGAGATAATATGAATAGATTTTAAATAATGAGAAAAGTAGGGAAAATAAAGATGGAGAGAAAGAAAGCTATAGCCTAAATGAAGACAATGACAAAAAAAAAAGTAATAGTGGTAATGATCAGGGGAGTTCAACTTGAGAAAAGGTTGTAAATTGAGTAGGCTTTTAGAAAAAACAACTTCGTTCACTCAGTGACAAGACACATTGTAATGGGAGCCTGCCACAATTATTCAGAGGCAATTTTTAAAAGATGCCTAACTACACTAGTTCCTCTTACACTTAACTCAAAAACATTTTTTTTCATATTGTTTAGTTATTTTTTATTTATAGCTTGGTGAAAGAAATATCTTTTAGAAGGATTTCTTATTGATAGATATATGATGATGGACTCTCAAATTGATTCTGATGTATGAAGATTCGATAACCTCATTCAATTTTTATGTTTTTGTCCTATGTGACATGGCAGTCCCGCTAGTGATTTTGCATACAAGTCTATATATTGTGCAACAGCGAGGATCTTGAGACAAAGCTACAGGAATATTTCTGACTATATTTCTAAGATGAGGTATTGTAATAATTTACATTATTTACATTGTTTGGATTGTTGTCTTCATCTTTATTGGATGTTCACAACATTTCAGCCATTGTATGCCACGGCCCTCTTTAGGTGACTGGAATTTCAAACTCAACCCCCTATTTCATCCACTAGGGTAGATTGTTCTAGTTCCACGTGTCATGGCTCTTCTAGATGTCTTTGTTATCTCCCTTTAACTCAACTCTCCGAGTTTTTGTTCACAATTGCAGTAGTCAGGTATTGAACTCACAACTGTTTGGGTCTAGTCACTGGATCCAACCAACACTTTTATCCACTGAGCCACTGATTTAAAAATTTCTGATACCACACTGGTACAAATATTTCCAGTCATTTTTATCTAGAGCAACTCATTCGGAGTTAGTATGTGGCACATTGACAGTTGAGTGGTTACTCTTAACCACTATCCTTACTCTGTCCTGGACATCGAGTTCTACCTGGATTCTATCCTCTTGGAATTTTTATTCAAAAAATATACATGTATGGGTATTTATATATTTTACATATGTATGTATATTTACCACTAATATATATATATATATATATATATATATATATATATATATATATATATATATATATATATATATAAAAATCAGATATATTTTTGTGATATATATTTACGATTTAACATGAAATGAAACTAAATCTCCAGTCCAGTAGTTGTCTTAAATTATGCTAATGTGTGAGAAATATTCATACTAAATTAACAATTCAACTGCCATATATATATATATATATATATATATATAGTGTGTGTAAATTTTTGTAATCAATAAAAAGTAATATCTTATAATTTCATTTCTTAAAATTTTAACATTTATTTTTTATCATTTTTATTTTATATGCTTTTTCATTTGTTGAAATTTTTAGTTATCCTTTTAAATTCAAATATAAAAAAATGCTTTATTTAAGGACATCAGAAAAATAAAGTGAATGTGTCTTTCAGTTTACACAAGGCATTTCTATATTTTTTACAAATATTTTTTTAACTGAAAAATATTATGAATCTTCCTTTTTTTGTATTTGTCTTAATTTGAAATTATCAGAATATGTGAAAATGATCTGACTGTTAGCCTGAAGCATTTGACACATGGGATTAAAAGGATTTACTTTTTGCTGTTTTTCCCCCCATTGTTTCCCCAAATGTTTGTATTTTTTAGCCTTTCACTAGAAATGCGATATTAAAATGAGAGAGAAAGAGAAAAGAATGAAGAAAAAGAAAAAAAGAGAGAAAGAGCAAAAGAGAGAAAGAGCAAGAGAGAGAAAGAGCAAAAGAGAGAAAGAGCAAGAGAGAGAAAGAGCAAGAGAGAGAAAGAGCAAGAGAGAGAAAGAGCAAGAGAGAGAAAGAGAAAGAGAGAGAAAGAGAAAGAAAGAAAGAGAAGAAAAAGAGAAAAAGTGAAAAAAGAGAAAAAGGAAGTGAAAAAAGAAAAAAGGAAGAGCAAAATGGAGCAAAGAGGAAGAAGAGGAAAAAAGGAAGAGGAGGAAAAAAGGAAGAGGAGGAAAAAAAGAAGAAAAAGAAAGAGAAAAAAGAAGAAGAAAGAAGAGAAAAGAAAGAAGAGAAGAAAAGTGTGTTAAACCACAGACATATTTCTACATCATAAAATACTATATCTTTCCCATCATAAAAAAAAATGATCAAAAACATTAGGATCAATATTGCTTTCATCATCAACAAAATAATTACTTTATTTAATGACAGTATCCATTGATTTTTATTGGGGGTCAAGTGAGAGCAACTTTCCAAAGTATTCTAGTACTACTTTTTTTAAGCAAGGCAATAAATCCACTAGGACACAAGAGGTTACTTAGAATAAAACAACACTGAGAAAATGTTGAGATGAGAAGAGACAATAAAAGAATTGGATACAAGGAGATAGAAAATGGCAACTGATTTGCATATAAACTTTTGAAGATCGTAACTGACATCAAAGCAAGAAGTCAGAAGAGAATTCCACAATCAAAAAGTGAAGGAGAAAAAAACTAACTTGAATATTTTTGCTAATTTCAATAATGCAAATGTCGGAATAATTTCTTCTTCTACAAATTTTTAATGCTTCTGTTATTTTTGAAAGCATCTTCGACATTTGTTCCAATAATTATAAGCACAACGGTCACGTCCATATTCTACAACTGTTCAGTTCTTTTTTATTTTTAAATGATTATTTCAAATTTTTCAATTATTTATTTTAAAATTATAAAATAATAGTAATGACTGCTACTTGTTTCCAAGTATGCCCGTCTACTCAGGTGGCTAGCTTGTCCATGCTGTAGATGCCTGCTCAGGCACATTTGTTCAGCACTCAGAGAATCAACTTGTCATTTATACAGCAACTCTAATGAGTCACAGTTTCTGAGAGAAAACACAATCTGGTGTGATTAGTAATTGAAGAAGGCCTGCATGCTCGAAAGGTTAGCCACATTGATTCTTGACTGTGCAGAACTACCAAAGTCTTCCAAAAGAGTTTCAACTACTCAGTTTCATTCACAAGGCTTGGATCAACCTGCAGCATGGTATTCTTTAAAATTATAATTGCAAGAATTACCCAACACCCACTTGGCTAAAGGAAGAAAACCAAATTGTATTAAAAACTCCCAAAGTACAAAGCAGGTCTGGAATTTTAAAAAAATCAAATTCACCCCAAGCAAGGCAGTAAAGCCGTTAAAACACAAGGGGTTAAAAAAAAGAAACATTATTAAGAAGACAGAACAATAGAAGAGTAGTCAGGGAAATAATGATTGACACTGCCTTTAAATTTTTGAAAATCGAAGTTGACTGGAAAGCAAGAAGCTGAAAGAGAGTTCCCAAGTGAGGAGTGTGAGAAAAAAAAACTGTTAGCATAGAACTTAGTTATATCTAGGCAATTTAACGGTAAACCTTTTTGCCAATCTAGTACCACACTTAAATTCATCAAATTTAAGTATCATAGCAAAGAAACCATGATGCCAGGTCAGGACCAATAATATTGCTGATTTTATCAAGAATCTCTAAATATATAAGAAAAGCATCAGACCATATGTACCAGTAATATTCAAAGTATGAATAAATTGGTAGACTTACAAATATATATATGAGATAGATTCTGGAGAGAAAAAATGTCTAGCATGACAGTCTGTTTTCTTGCAATTAATGTTTAGTCTTTTATTCTCCCTTTGCTTCATGGCTTTCTGCAGGAGTTCTGGTAGTTTTCTTTCTGCGTCTGCTATCAACACGGGGACATCTTCATATCCTATATTAAGAATATGGCCACCAATAATGAAGCCTGGTAAGAATTCATTACCATACCTGTATATTTTCTTTTTTTATGATGTTACTAGGCACCAGAGAAGCTAAGCTTTGTCTGCTGACTGCCATAGCCAGCTGGACTAATTTCAAAGACATAAGTTGCAATTCTTTGGAATTCTTCTGTAGACCTTTGAAATGCACCCAATTCATTGAGAGTGGGGTGCTGCAAATCACTTCAGCATGTTTCCATGACTGATTAATCAAAGTAGAACTGTCACAGACAACTGCTTTATCACAGAACACATTTTTCCTTTTCCTTTGAATATTTAGGTATTTCTGTTTGTTGGATTCTTCTGCCTGGAGATAAAAATACAACAGACACGAAGGAAGATGTGCTGGACAGTTGCCTCCCTTAGAAACACATGATACAGCCAAGAATGACAAACAAATGTTTAATAAATTCAATAATTCTCTGCAGTTCCTGTAGTTTATATACTGAGTGCTTTCTTTGTTTCAGTTGCTTGAGAAATTACAGAGAATTTGATGCAAGGCTAGTAGAAGCAAGAAATGAAAATACCACTTCATCCACACCCACAAAATTAAGCAATCCCTAAAACTTATCCTTTTCCTTCAAATTATTAGCCTTCGTCTTTTTTGTTTTTGTAATTTTTTCTCAGAACTTTCTAAAATTCAGGAAGACAAAACTTAAAATTTTGTTGTTTTTTACCTTTTGGTTCCCCTAAATGTTTATATATTTTAGTCTTTCACTAGAAATATGATATTAAAATAGAGAGAGAGAGAAGCAAAGAAAGAAAGAAAGAAACAAACAAAGAGAAAGAGAGAGAAAACAAAGAAAGAAAGAGAAAGAAAACAAGAAAGAAAACAAGAAAGAGAAAGAAAACAAGAAAGAGAAAGAAAACAACAAAGAAAGAGAACAACAAAGAAAGAGAACAACAAAGAAAGAGAACAACAAAGAAAGAGAACAACAAAGAAAGAGAAAGAAAACAACAAAGAAAGCGAGAGAAAGAGTTAAGCAAAGAAAGAAAGAGTAAAGCAAAGAAAGAGAAAAACAAAGAAAGAGAAAAACAAAGAAAGAGAAAAACAAAGAAAGAGAAAAACAAAGAAAGAGAAAAACAAAGAAAGAGAAAAACAAAGAAAGAGAAAAACAAAGAAAGAAAGAGAGTGAGAGAAAAACAAAGAAAGAAAGAAAGAAAGAGAGGGCAAGATGGAGAAAAAGAAAAGTGTGTTAAAACCACCAACATTTTTTACATGTTTTAATGTCATTTTCAAAATAACAGGCAATTTTCACACCAGAATGGTACATTCTCAATACCAGGGGCTTTTGGTGCTTATACTGCAAATTAATCAAAATCTTTACAGATTAAAGTTGGCTGGAAAGCATGGAACCAGAAGAGAGTTCCACAAGTAAGAAGTACAAGAAATGAAACTATTAGCATATATAAATTATAAATATAAAGTATATTGAAGAGCTCATCCAAGCAATTACCATGTAAGTATTTATAGAAAAGGGACAAGGAAGAAAGCTTATGGTGGTGGGAAAGTGACTGAAGACATGCCGCAAAATCAGGACCAATGATGTCCATTTATTTGATTCAGTGTTTGTCAAAAATAAATTTTGATAATGTCATAAAATTATTCAGTTTTCCTCTGTCTAATGCATATTATCTTTTCTGAGGCTTCTTCAGCAGCACTAAAAATATGAAGTAGGAAGAGAAGTAGTCAAGCTTGACAGCAAGGCCATAGTAGAAACAAGGGAGATAATAATAATATTGGGTTTAAGGATTAAATGTACTGTTTTATGAATTTGATGGCATATTAATTGTGACTTCAATCCCTGGGACAGATAATACAGACTCAGTAGAAACATGGTGAGCAATAACTGTGCAGTATTAAAAGACAGTGGGACAAGAACAAGCTACTTCCCATTGATTAAATAAAGGGCTCTGTTTGAAAATCCCCGTTTGTTAACAGAAATCTATAGACACCTGAAGAAAATTGGAGAGTACAACGATCAAAATATTGGAATAATAAGGACAATGAGAAAAGTCCAAATGTAAATAATGATAGTTCATTTCAGAAAGAAGCATGAACTTAAATTTGACAAGCTATTTTTAATGTGGTTTCATTACAAAGCTTTAGTCATCTACTAAAATAAAGAAGGAAATTACTGGAAAGTAATTGAAACTCACCTGAAGTGAGCTGAATGTGTAATGCTCCTCATGCCAATGACAATTTCACCAAGCTTCACTACGGCATATGACTTCACTGAATTTGATGTGTTCCTCTCGAATTTTAAACTGGGGTCATCAGGAGAGAATGTGCACTGTTTCGGATAATTGTAATCAAATGATGAAATTTTATCAATAATTAATAAAAATGCCTAATATACTAAAATGTACTCTGTTGTTATTTAATTTTTTTTTATTAAATTGATAGGTACACCATTTTACTAAAATTGTTCCAATGTCAGGTATTTTCACTTAAAGGGATAAAAATTCTTGCTTTGTCATCTTAACTTTAGATACTGGATACAATACTGGATTTGTGTTACCTTATCAACCTTTTGTAGGTGATTTAAATTCAGAAAATATTTTTAGATTATAAACATTTTTTGAGATAATGATTTACTGATATAATTTCTACTAATTAACCGAGAAGTGAGGAGGGGGGAGTTCATATCTTCCCAAGGGTATTTGCACATAAGTAAATATAACAAACCTAACTGGAACCCTGAATTTCAATTCTGAGGCATTATCCATCACACAACATGCTACCTTATAGCACCTGATATTCCCAAGCGATCACTCATATAGGTACTGACCAGGCTTGACATTGCTTAACTTTGGTGATCTTGTGATAACCAGTGTTTAAATGTGATATGGCTCTAAAGCCTACAGATTCCGTTTGAGTGAAAGACAAAAAAAAAAGAAAAAAAAGCCAAATGTAAATAACATTTGAAAATGTTTTAAATGTAAATTTGAGTGTATGCAAGACCTGCTACAAAGATTATTCTTTCCTTTTATTGTAAGTGGAGAGACTCTGATAACGTTTAAAAACCTTTCAATTTTTTTTTTTTTTATTGAGCTGGAAAATCAAACTGTAATAGTGACAGGGAGTATATAACTACATTAGCTTTTACAGCAAGCAAATTTACCTCTTTCATATGCTTTATTGCAAAAGCTGAATTTTCAATAGATGAATTTACATTAAATTTGTTAGCATCACCTCTTGTCTCTTAAGGAAAGGATAATGAAAAACATTTGTATGCAAAAAAAAAAAAAAAAAGAAGCTTTACTTTCTTTTCCTCTACAGTCTATTACAGCATCATGACACCAATCTTGAAACCCTCAGAAAAAGTAATAAAAAAAAAATTCTTTCAAGGGAGGTAATTATCTAAGTATTTACCGAAGAAGGGAGGTAATCATAAACTACCAGGTATATGCACATAAATAACTGTAGTGTACTGGGTTTTCTGAAATCTTTTAAAAGCATACCCCGAAGACTTTTTTTATGAACCGATTCTAAGCAAAGCATCAGTGATGGAATGACATCAATCTATCAAGGTGTAGACATGGAAAAGAATTGAATCCCAGCGGCTAGATAAGAAAGAAAGCATTTATATTGAGAAATAAATCTCAAAATTGTTATTGGAAAATTCTCTGAACACCACTCACCTGTACAGTGCTGTTAGCCAGGTGAGTTAATCAAGTCATTGATACAGCCACTGGCAAAATCATAAGGTGCAACAAACTTACCTGCAAAAGAAAATGAAAGAAAAATTCTATTAAAAATTTTAAAAAGAAGACAGTGTAGCCCAAGGATACTGGACTTGTTTTTTTTTTACAATATATTATTGTGTAATAGTAGATCTAAAATATTCTACTGGTTAAAACTAGACAATCCAAAGTAAAATTGAATTTGCAGATAAATATGGTAATATAACATTTATCAGTTACATTTGCTCTCTCAATATATTATATAATATATTAAAATTAATAGAAACCTTAATAATAAAAAAGAAAATGCCAACATGAACATCAACTATGAACATGGCCACAATGTGATAACTGTGTTCAGAAAGTAAAATATCTCTGTAACACTAAAAACATACACACAATGCACACATTCAATTAAACTGAAAAAAATAAAATCATCCTTGATAATGGCTAAAAAGTGCTCAGAATTATAGAACATTTGGACAGTTTGTACACACTTTATGTCCAAAAAAGAAAACACTTGTTAAAACATAAGAAAAAATTAAATAAAAGCTTAATTGTAGTACCTTGTCTGTTGTCTTTAATGAAACATGCATAAATGAAGGATTGCTACCTAAACACACACACACATATATATATATATATATAGAGAGAGAGAGAGAGAAAGAGCGCGAGAGGGATTGTGTATATGTGTGTGTATATATATATATAAAATACACAGACACGCATGTGTGTGTGCATGTGTAAGTGCTTATTTCATTCTTAAATATATTGGCAAACTGTTTAAAAAAGTATTATTAGTTCTTGCTAGTAAAATAAATTAGCAGGAAAAATAGTCTGATTTTTGTTTATGCTTTGTTCCATCTTGATTTAGAGATTTCTGCTCAATAACTCATGATTACAAAGCTGTATTTGTTCAGCCTCATCACTGAATCGTTTTTCAGATGATATATTGTTAAAAAAAATGAACTCATTCAATGATTACAAAATAGTGCCAATAGAATACAGTTGATTGATAATATTTATCGTATTTCTGCATGGTTGATTATTTAGAGCAAAAAGAAAGAAAAATTATTAACCTATATCCTCCCAATGTCAGTTTTAATTAAAGTCATCATTTCTTTTCAGATACTGTGACCATTTTACTTAAAGTTCATATTTTCTTGACCTCAAATAAAAACTTGGACATTTTCCAACATACTTCAGTGAAATTTTAATTTTCCAAAGTTATAAGTTATTATAATTAAGAAATTGGAAAATGGTGCCACCAGGAGTATAGCGGCTAAAAGAGATCCATTCTTTGTAATCATAGATGACTGAAAAATAGAACTTCAGGATTTACAGGTCATAAATCTCTTGTAGCCATTCTCATTGTATTGTTGATATTGTTAATTAAAAATAGAATAAAATATTGGGAGTTCATTAGACTTTCAAATGTGTGCTTTTGTTAACAGAATCAAATAATTATTGATTCTGTGTATGATAATTATAATTTGACTAATTAAAACTTGAAACAAGAAGTATGAAATGTTAACTGTCAGAATAGAATCAGTTATCTTGTAAAGTTCTGAATAGCATTCATCCCATCAAATTGAGGTTGCCATACCAAATTAACTCTTCTGTACAAAAGAGCTCTAGCCATTGACTCAACATGTCAGTTAAAATCTTCCCGATTTAAATAAGCTTTGGATTTGGCCTCGGATAGTCAATCAACTTTAACCTCAGTTTCTTTCCTTTAGGCAAATCTGCATTTCAAAAGAGCCAACATTCCTGAACTGGTTGCCTTGCATTTTTAGGATTGTGAATCAGAGAAGAAGATGGTTGCCATTATGTCAGAAAGAAGCTATCTTGAGTTTTATTTTATTTGATCAGCTTATTTTAGAGACAGTTTTTTTTTTTCTTAAGACCAAAGAAATTTAATAAAGAATGGTTTTAAAAGAAATAGGCTCAGTATACTTGGATTTTTAATATGTCAATATGTTTACATACTGATGTCCTAATTTGATCATTCATGTACCTGTGCTCTAACATGACCGTATATTCATTTAGCAGTGTCCTAATGTAACCATACATTTGTGTAGGGGTGTCATAACATCAACATACACTCATGTAGCGGTGTCATAACGTTACTGTACACTCATGTAGCAGTGTCATAAGGTATTGCCTTGCAGTTTTAGGATTAGAATTGTGAATCAGGGAAGATGGTTGCCATTAAATCAGAAAGAAGCCATTTTGAGTTTTATTATATTCAATAAGCTTTTTTTAGAGATTTTTTTTTTATTAAGAATAAAGAAATTTAATAAAAAATAGTTTTGAAATAAATAAGTCCAGTATTCTTCGATTTTTGCAATAAGTTTATATACTAATGTTCTAACATGTCCATACATTCATGTAGCAGTGTCCTAATGTGACCATACATTCATGTAGCAGTGTCCTAATGTGACCATACATTCATGTAGCAGTGTCCTAATGTGACCATACATTCATGTAGCAGTGTCCTAATGTGATATTATATTTGTAAACCA